TTCCTTTTCTCAGTTCTGAAGCGCCCACCGAAGAGCATGCCAGAACTATTCACAAAAGCTCAAAGATATATGAATGCTGAGGAAATCAACAAGTTTAGGCAAGGTGAATCATCTCACAGATCACCAGAAACTTGACCTGCCTCTGCACTGTTCTCAAACAGGCAGCCTATCTCCAGTTTAGCGGCTTTCTCACGGGTCGCCAAAAAACTTGGCCTCTGCACTGTTCTCAAACAGGCAGCCTATCTCCAGTTTAACGGTTCTCTCACGGATCGCCAAAAAACTTGGCCTCTGCACTGTTTTCAAACAGGCAGCCTATCTCCAGTTTAGCGGTTCTCTCACGGATCGGCAAAAAAAAAAAAACAAAATAAAACTTGGCCTCTGCACTGTTCTCAAACAGGCAGCCTATCTCCAGCTTAGCGGCTCTCTCACGGGTCACCAAAAAAACTTGGCCTCTGCACTGTTCTCAAACAGAAAGCTTATACCTCAAGCTTAAAGACTCCCTCATGGGTCGCCAAAAGCTAGGTCTCAAAAAGTGTAGCTCTCTCACGAGCAGTTCTCCAACTCTGTCTTTGCTCTCGCGCAAGCAGCCTACTTCTCTCTTTCTCCAGGTAATTATGTGAGATATTTTAATGTTTGGAATAACATTATTTTTGTCATCACAAGTAGGTTCTCCCGAGGCAGCCCCAGGCTCACCCAAGGCGCCCAGCACCTGGAGAAGGGCTTGATCATCAAGAGCAGCACCCAAAGGTTCCTTACTACTTGCAATGTCTAGCCCAATGCCTAGAAGTGTGTCTGACTGTTGTTGCTCGTCAAAACAAAGTTGCCCAGTAGCTTGAAGGGTGTCTGGCCCTTCAAAATTGCTCAAAGCAGAATTTTCGGCCTAAAAATCAGCACCTAAGACGCCCAAATCAGCACCTCGAGTGGGAATCGGATCAGCCCATGCTCCCAGGCCACTGCCTAGCTCTCCCTGACGAACCTTGGACTGATTTTCAGCTCCCCTTGATGAAAAAATGCTGCTGCCCAGCGTTCCAAAGCCGCCCAGCGCAGCAGATCTGAAGCTGTCCGGGACAGCAGAAGCAGCAGCTAGGCTGCTGCCCAGCGCACCTGGGCTGTCCAGGACAGCAAGGCCAGCGCCCAGGCAGCTACCCAGCGCGCCTGGGCTGTCCAGGATGCGAGGAGCAGAGCCTAGGCAGCCGCCCAGGCCCCCAGCGCCTAAGCCCCCAGCGCACGCGCGCTGCCCAGCTGCGCCTGCGCTACGCAGCCTGCGCTGCCCAGCGCGCCTGCGCTGCACTGCGCTCCTGCGCTGCCCAACTGCGCGCCTGCCTGCGCTGCCCAGCCACGCGCCCAGCGCGCCTGCGCCGCCCAGCCGTCTCCCTTTCTTCAACCTCCACCACTCCCTCTACAAAATAAAAAGGCCAAACAGAATATTATGGGTCTTCTTTAAAATAAAGTGGAAAAGACTTGAAAAAAAAAAAATGTAATCAATGCCTCCTTCTCCAAGTCTCCTTGGACATGGGGCATTGGGGGGCAAATGATGGGTTAAGCCCAAATAGTCCAATTTATGTGTTAAAGTCCAACCCCAGTTGAGGAGCCCAACCTCATTTTGATTCCACCAAGCCCAAGACAGTCCAAGACCAGTTAGACTTCTTGCTTAGCACGTCACCAAGAGGAAGCACGGGAAGCTTAAGGCCGGTTAGACTTCTTGCTTAGCACGTCACCAAGAGGAAGCACGGGAAGCTTGAGGCCGGTTAGACTTCTTGCTTAGCACGTCACCAAGAGGAGAGCACGGGAAGCTTAAGGCCGGTTAGACTTCTTGCTTAGCAGGTCACCAAGAGGAGAGCACAAGAAGCTTATCTGCACCGCCTTAAGGAAGGAAACGGTCCAATCTTTGACCACGTTTCATGAAGAGCTCCCCAACCTCTTCCTTCCGTTGAGGATAAGTCGTGATCTCCACCAAAGATAATCTCTAAGCTGCGATAAAGAAGTCTTGAGGATATGTCATGATCTCCACAAGAATGATCTCTTATCTACTATAAAATGGCTCTAATCTGGGAGAGGAAGGACACATGCTCCATCAGAGACTTACAGAAGACGAACCGACTACCGGAGATTATTATTTTCTTTGATTCTCCATTCTCCCTCTCAAAGCTTGTATCTTCATACCTTTGAATCAATAAAATACCCGGCGACTGAAGCCATTGAAGAGTGGACGTAGGTCGAATTGACCGAACCACTATAAATTGTGTCTTCTTTAATTTTTTCGTTGATTTCATTGCATTTATTATTTATACTTGACAGGTGGTGTGCAAAACCATTTTTGTGCATCATCAGTTCTAAATATTACTTTATTTTTAAAAAAAAAATTTATGAGAAATTATAAATTCTATAAGCACTTTTTAAAAAATTATTCTAAACAAATCCTTAGTGGCTTATTAACCGTTAAATTAATTTTAAAATAAAATTTAAAGAGCTTTCAACCACAAAAAATAAAAATTATTTTATTTATTTTTTGAAATTTGAATTGAATTGTATTTTATTATATATATATTTATTGTTAAAATAAAAATCGAAAATAGAAAAAATAAATAAAAACTGTAATTGGACATTAGAGCCAGAAAAGAAAAAGGAAGAAAGAAAAAGAAAAAGAAAAAGAAAGCCAGCACTCAAATCTCCAAAGTGAGTAAACCAAGAGTCGACCTTTTTTGTAAACCATGAGCAAACCAAAGCAAATAAGGAATGTCTGTCTCTCCGTCTCTCTCTCTCTCTCTCTCTAGATCCAAAGCTGCCTTTGACAGTTTGACCGACTATTGACCGTCTATTATTCTCCCCCTGGAGGGCCAGGATCTTTTTAAGCATTATTTAATTACATTTGGCATCCCATTTCTTTCAGAATAATCATTGTTTATCCACCCACTTTTATGGCTTTTAAGAATAGTCAAACCTCCCCTAGTGTCAGATACGTGGGCGCCCCCAAGAATATTATGTGGGACATGAAAAGTCAAAAGTACCCTTTTATAACTGTTAAAATAATTGGGTTCTTTATGCACTAACGTTAATTCATAAACTTTAATCACTAAAAAAAACCAATGAATACAATTTTTCTCCATTGCTTTTAATAAAGTAATTGATTCACCTGGTGTTAATTTACATAATTGGAATACTAAGAGCTTCACACTTAAATGTAGATTTAGTCGAGCCGTCTTTTATTTATCAATTATAAGTAAATTTTATATTCTTTTATACCTTATGATATATTAATTAAGTCTAAAGGTCCTATAAAAATGCCAAGCCCTAATGAGCAAGGATTTTTGTATAGTTCAATCATTTAATTCTTACTTTTAATTTAGAGTTTGCTAGGTATTAAAGTCATTCATGAAAAATAAATAAAGTGCTTTAATTGAATAGAATAATCTAGTTATGGAGACCAAAAAAGAGTTACTAGACAAACTCAGGTCATATTAATCTATTTTACCAATTAATTGAAATCATACACTACATAAACTAATTTGATTAGGCTGAAAGGAAGATATTTCATCTTTGGAAATGCATATAAAATATAATTTATTTGATACGAAAAAATAACTCCCTTGCTTTAAAAAAAAGTTCCTTTTTCCATGATTGCACATAAATATTTCAAATATAAAATCTCGATGGTCAATTCTTTCTTTTTTATTAGAATTTTCAATTGTCGTAACTATTTTTTAATACTATATCTTATTTTTTTTATCAAATGACAAATTTGATACATATAAATATTTATTAGTTTATTATTTTGTTTTACTTCATTCTTTTCATGATCAATGACCGTAACTAAATCAATCTAAATGCATAGGTACAAATCATTTCTGATATGATAATAAAAAGTTTCTTTAGATACCATAACTAAGGTTGTGTCGTGTCTAAGTTGTGTAGTGTTAAAATTTGTTCAACTAATACTCAACTCATTTATACTTACACACACACACACACACACACACACACACACACACACACACACACACATATATATATATATATATATATATATATATATATATATATATATATATATATATATATATATATATCGTATCAAATTTGTATCGTGCATAAATTATATATATAAATCATGTTTAACCAAATTTAATCTAAACCTATTAATGGGTCATATCTAAAATTGGCATGGTAGCCCTCAGCATAATCTTATTTATATTATATACATACTAGTCATAATTCGTGTCTGAAGGCACGAAAAAATATAAAATTCGAGTGTCCAAAAAATTAATTCCACTATATTAAATTTTTTCAACATGTATATACAAATTAATCAAATATTAAATGATTAACTACAAATTAATTAAATATTAAATAATTAAATATATGATATAAATGAGTGATGTGATGTTTTTAAGAGAAAAATATATAAATGATTAAACATGTGATAGAAATAAGTGATGTGATATTTTTAGTAAAAAAAATATGTAGGAGATAAAAATTCAAATTATTATGTGTTTTATTATATAGATACACTTTTATCATTAAAAAATTCCAACCACCAGCCTCCCTTTGATAGAACTTTTGCTAACTAAGACCAAACTGGACATTTCACCACTTATAATTAAATAATAGGCTTCCACATATCAAAATCAGGAAGCCGTGTACAGACACCATCGCCCATTGTCATCATCCATAGTTCTTTAATCCTTCTGGAGCTTCCTTTCAACAAATAGGAGCTCACCCGCTTAGATCGGATATGTTATCATTCATCCCCACGCCATTTGTCTCTCATTAAATCATTGTCGTTATCAACAGCCCACTCCAACCAAAACCAAAGCCAAAACCAACTTTAATCAATTAAACCAAAGAAAGGAAACAAAAAATACCCATATTTCCCATCAAATTTTCTCTCAGACAACAAAGGAATCATATCCAGAAAAACCCCGGGAAAATCTCAGGCTTTCATGGCCTAAAACCTCATTGTTTGTATCCATTGGTGACAATTGTTTCTGGGTTGTGTTTTGATGGGCAATGTAACGTCAAGTGTTGCTGCGAAATTTGCTTTTTTCCCACCAGACCCACCAACATATGATGTGTATAGAGATGAAGAAGATGGGAGGATCATTTTCAGTGGCTTAACGGCTGATAAAAACGTTGATGTTCATTTGTTAGAAACAAAGGGTGGTAACAAGATTGTGGCCACGTTTTGGAGGCACCCTTTTGCAAGGTTTACGCTTTTGTACTCTCATGGCAACGCTGCTGATTTGGGTCAAATGACGGAGCTCTTCATTGAGCTCAGAGCTCACCTCCGTGTCAATATCATGAGGTATATCAATTTTCGTTGATTGTTGGAATGTTTATCTTTCTATTTGTTTATGTATGTGTAACTATCTTTTCTGGTTGGTTCAGAATAATGGGTTGTGTTCTTTTCTGGCAATATTGAAATGGGTTTCTTGAAAATTTTGGCTCTGCAGAGCTTATTTGGGCATATTTTACTTGTAATAAATACATCTGTGGTTGTATGTTTGATTTGGAATATGGGCTTTGTTTGTTTTGATTACTTTGTGGTTAAGGTGTTTTTAGTGATTATTATGGTGTGAGGTGTTTTCCTGCTTGTTGGTCCTATTCGTTTTTTGGGTTCTAATGAATTTCTTTTGTATTTTATCCTATTGAGATGAGTGCTTTTAGGTTTGGTTTTAATTTTTCGTTTGGATGGTCTAATGGTCTATTTGGTTCGGCAAGCATTTTATAATTTATGAATTCGTTAATTTTTCTGGACCTTTTTTTTGTATTTATCATGTTCTGTTCTTTCCCTAATATGAACTTCTTCTTTTTCCCCCTCTAATATCTTGTGATGTTATGATTATTGGGAAATAATTGTCTTGTGAATGCTAGTGCGGTAGGTTTATTGTTCATCCAAACAATTAGATTTCTGATGATGTTTGTAAATTTGCTAACACTGGCGTGTTTCAGTTTCTAGTTGCGAAACTCATCCAATAGCCATGTGAAATTGAATGTGGTGGTCACGATGGTTTGTTAATAATACACTGATATAACATTCATATATGCCACAAATAGTATGGCTATGAAATAACAACCTCCTCTTTATTACTTATATAGTGCTTTTTGCTACATTGCAGCTATGATTATTCGGGATATGGAGCATCCACTGGTAAGGTAGGGAATAAATGAAACGAATTTGAATATGTAATTTCGTTTTTACCTTGAAAATGTATTCTCTAAAACTAAGAACAACTGAATGAAAAGGTCAAAAAACTTTAAGTGAACTTCAACATTTTCTAAACAAAAAAAGGGAAGGAATTTCGAAAAAAAGGAAAAGAATACTCTTCACTATCACAAGTTATATAACCAGCTCATTTTTCATCCTATATTTGTTCGGCTTATTCTAATCCAGAGAATTGATTATTGCTTAAATTGTGATAGCCATCTGAGTTCAACACATATTATGACATAGAAGCTGTCTACAATTGTTTGAAGAGTGAATATGGAATCAAGCAGGAGGATGTGATTTTGTATGGCCAATCGGTTGGAAGTGGACCCACGCTACACTTAGCTTCTCGTTTTCAGAGGTTAAGAGCTGTCGTTCTTCATAGTGCTATCCTTTCAGGAATACGAGTCCTGTATCCTGTCAAGGTGACACTCTGGTTTGACATTTTCAAAGTAAGTTTCACTAGTTTGTTTGTCTGGTCTCTTTTTTTCACTTTCTAAGGTATCGGTTATGCATTGAGGAAGCTCTGTTCCACATTGCAGAATATAGACAAAATAAGGAACGTCAGCTGTCCCGTTCTGGTTATCCATGTAAGGAATACCTCTTTTGTTCACTTCTTCATTTCCAGATACACTCCCTCTGCATTCATATTTTTCCGACCATGACTGCCAATTTCATATTTTGAGGCATGACTATTGATTAATGTTCAATTAGTTTAGTATATTAATAATATCTGCATCCCTGTTTTATGTTTGATATATGACGCGTGTGCTTTCCAAGAACTCAGGAAAGGAATGATGCCATTAGAATCTACCGTAAATGCTACATATGAACAGTTTTAGCTGTCAAACCTTGTCTGGTCAAACATAACACCATTTTTTTTTTTTTTTTTTGCGTATATAAGGAGTTGCATTTTTCTTGCAGTTTTGACTATATGAACTGTTTGTGGACTTGGAATTTTCTTCTTGCTTTCTGCGATTAGTGTGAAACCAGGATATTGGTTAGATCTCTTAGAAATGCGACACTACAGATAGAAGCATACCCAATATAATTATTGCTTTGTAAACTACTTAATCATGCAATTGAAGTCCTTGACTCCTTTCTAGAGGCCTCATGTTACAGGCACATTTTCTGCATTGTGCTTAATTTTCTTGGGAGACATCATGTATGTCCACATGAAGCCCACACCACCTGCTGGTACTGGTGTTATGATTGGAATAATGTATTTTTTATAGCATCGATCATGTAGGTTAGGATTTCCATGTTACAAGATTCTGATGGCCTAATCTGAAGTAGCTGTGAGTGCTTTTGGAAAAAGATATATTGGCTCAACTTTCTTTGATTTTTGGGAATATTAGGACAATTACTACTGCTTCTCTCTCTCTCTCGTGTAACCAGCATAAAATAAGTTATAAGTCAGCACTTACACTGTTGAATAACATGGCCCTCATGTCTTTTCTATGATGAGTATTTGTTTTTGCTATGTGGCCTTTTAACATAATCAAATCATTATCCATACTGGTGCAGTTGTTTGTCTTTGTCACATACACACACTTGCCAAACCTTTTAGGACACCAATTCTTGTCTTTGTCCCACTTGACGCTACCTTATTTTTATGAATAACATATGTTTAGGATCTTCAGATCCACATGTGGAATGTAGAAAGCAAAATAAAATTTAAGTTTCTCTAACAAAAAGTGGCTTGAACTCAAAGATCAGCCACATTAAGCCTTCAAAATTTGCCTATTCCAATCTGATTAGACAATCCACCAAAAACGTAAAGGAATTGCCATCAACATCTCTCTCCACCTTTTTTTCATACCACCACCCTTCCACTACCAATGAAAATTCATGGCATATCAAGGCATCTCCCATTTCACCCACACAAGGAAAACAAGAGTGACTGCAACTCCATAACTACAGGGTGGTGCAACGTTAACTGATGAACAGCCTCCTCCACCTTTTTACTAACCCAATTAATACTGAGCATCCCTCTTTTTTCTAAATTGTTATTTGGTCAGAATTTTCTCCAAATTATAAATCAAACAAAAAAAAATGCTACCGGAAGAGAAACTTTGCCTTCTAAATTGTCCCTAACAACTATATTGGGTGGATTGCTATCTGTTGAAGTATAAATATGTAAATTCCACCCTCTCTAATAACTTAAGTTTTAAAAGTAGATGGTTGTTTAACATGATATCCAAACAGAAAGTTCTATATTCAAATTTCACCGACCCCTTGATAATTAAAAAAAATTTTACATGCCGGGTTCAATAGCTAACTTGACGTGAGTGGTATGTTGAAATATAAATACTTAAGTTACACATTTTCTAACAGTTTAAGCTTTTATAGTAGATGGTTTCTCAATATGGTATTAGAGTAAGAGGTCTTGTACTCAAATCTTGCTTCCACCCTGATTAGTGAAGATCTCCACGTTCTATGCCCAAAATCTAGCTTAGATTTCAATACACCTACACCCAATGCAATAGCTTAAGTTTTTAAAGTAGATGATTGTTTAACACTATGAAACTATATCCACCTGTTTACTTTTTAAGCTCATAAAAATTATAAATATTGAGGGCTGCCATTTTGTGTAAATAATACCAAACCTAGCAAAAGTGGTGGTCAGTGGGCGGTATTCAGGGTACATCTGCATTAATTATGAGTCCCTTAAACATAGACAATACATTGATTTTGGCCCAGTCCAGAATTGGTAACCCTGTGGCCCATCATTGGCGGAGGAAATGAAAGTAGGCCAATTGTAGGGAGCTCAAAGAGAGATTAGTTACCTCTAACCAGTTGCTCTAGTGAAGGTTTAGTAATTGGTTACCTTGATTTTTTTATTCGGTGCAAACAGGGGACCTAGGATATTTACCCGAAAAGGGGTGGAACTGTGGAAGTGATAAAAACTCAACCATTTTGTCAATAGATAATTTGTATAAGTAAAACTCATTAAGATAAATTTGCATTAAATAAAAATGTGGGATTAAATTAACATTTTTCTAGTTGGAAATTGGGTTGCAAAATAATAATATACATTAATGGGTTTATTGGCATATTTTTGGATAGTAGGGACTATGTATATAAGGTATGAAAATAAAAGTCAAGAGAAATAATAGGAAAGTGGAGCAAGGGCAGTAGGTAGGCTAAAGATTTATCGATTCCAAAAGAGCTTTCAAACAATGAAACATATAATTTAGGCTGTGGACCCTTCTCCCCTAAGCCATGTGTGATGTGCAATTGTTTCAAACGGACATAATTGTATCTTATTCTACTATTCTATTCTACCAAATGTTAGCCAATTAAGAAAAGAAACTATTTCACAAATTAATGTAACAAGAGTCCAGAATGAGAGAAAAATATAGGAGGTGCCAACTACCGGCTAGATGAAACTTGTCTAAGATATTTTGGCCATGTGCAAGAAATATAATAATTGCAAATAACAAGGGATTGTTTTAATCCTAGATGATGGCAATAGCAAAGGAAGAAGGAGGTGAACAAAACAGTGGTTCAGACGGTGAGAAAACGTATGCTTGTTGAGGCTTTAGAAAAAAATATAAGTCTCTGATAGCACTGAATGACAAAACGTATTCACGCAATAGACCCCAAGAAGATGGACAATTGAAGGAAGGATTATAGTATTTGGAGATTTGTTAATGCACTAGATAGCTGAGGCATTGGGAGGCAGTCAAATATTTTTTACAGTATATGTGAGATGCTAATGTCATTACACAACCAAATTAAGAAATTCCAGTCCCAGCATCCTATGTGTAAGTAGTCCTATATTTATTATTGGTAGAAGTTCTTTTGTTTTCGAAGAAACATAGGCCTTCTTCTTATTGCTTTTCCACTGATGACTCTCTACTTGGTTGTCGTGCTTTGGTAATCAACTGTAGCTACGATCCCTATACTCGCACTAATAATGTGTTCTCATTAAATGAAAATAACCTTGTTCACTGCTGATTAGATTCTATACTACCTTCACAAGTTACTGATAGGATAGTTGTAATGGATGTTGCATGAGTGTGTAGTGTTAAAAGTTGAAATTTGGGAAATTTGAGAAAATCTGGGCCCTAAGTACCGATATGTCATAGGTACCTAGCTTCTAGTGGGCTCAGGTACCGGCACCTAAGCTCACAAGTACCGGTACTCTTAGGATAGTGGGCCCCTGTACCAAGTCTTACAGGTACTGATACCTGGAAGCCAGAGGGCTTAGGTACCGGCACTATTTATCAGAGGTACAGGTACCTCTTCCCAAAAATTGGTTTTCGAACTACAACACTTCCAAGCGTTCATATCTTGAGCTATTTTCTTTGGATGCTATAAATAGTTAAATTTTAAGCCCTAGACTTGGGATTTGGACCTTGGAATGGTCGAATGATTAATATATGCACAAGTTATGTATTGGATAGTGCTCCCCCTCAAAGGAGGTTCTGTCCAAATACTGTTTTGTTATGATTCCGGTGAATAGGATATAACGACGTGGTATTAGGTTGTATGGTATGTAAAGGGTATTTTGCGGGTTGATGGATGATCAACGAGTTGATAAAGGACCCCCGGATTTTGGGGCATCACAGTAGTCCTTTATGAATCTCTACAAACCAGAGCTAACATAGTTATGCCATGCTCCCTAGGTATCTCCAATGTACTCATTTCTACCATTTGCATAGGATTCTTGAATGAAGAATCTGCTAATGAACCCTTGAATTCGACTGGAAATAGCCTAGAATACCTTACATTAAGTGCCATGCTGCTTGTGAGAAAATGACAAATGCATAAATCCCCTTATGATATACACCCAATTGGGTATGTTATGTTTCAGACATCACTGGCCTGACAACTGTCAGTGATCTTTTATCTCCAGTTGTTAAGCAGGTGGTTGCCAAACATTATTCTGATTGCAGAACTGCAAATCATGTGGAGTTTTTTTGGAAATCCAAAAGTGGAATCTTGTGTTTACCTGGGGTTTGGATTGGTATCCTGGAAAACAAAGTATCTTTGCAAATTGTTCTGAATTCAAAAATAAATTCTATATGAATACAACTGTTCTCATTTTGTTTTTAGTTTGCATGTAAATGTAGCATGAGATTAATGGATCTGTAAATAAATTGAATAGTTTTCCTTAATTGGGCATAATAAGGATTATTTTTAAACAAAGTATGCTGTTGTTGTGTTTCTTCCAATATTACCTTGTTTTGTGTGCATCCTCCATCTTGTTTCGCTCGTTCTAACCTGTACCTGCTTTTGGTATCCATGTACTTCTGTTGGTGATCATCCACAGGGAACAAATGATGACATTGTTGACTGGTCCCATGGTAAGCGGTTGTGGGAACTTTCCAAGGAGAAATATGATCCATTATGGGTTCAGGGTGGAGGACATTGTAACCTTGAAACTTTTCCAGAGTATATTAAGCACATGCAGAAGTTTGTAAATGCAATGGAGAAACTCTCCTTTACAAAACGAAGCAAGCCACCTCCGTCAACACCAATTATAACGGACTCCAAAAACAATAGGTGCTTGAGATTCGGAAAAAGATAACTGGTTCTTTCTCACCTCTTACACAATTGCATGCACAGAATAGCTGGTTTCTAGCTAGATTGGCCATAATGGAAAATGTACAGTTGCTTGCTTCAATATGAAATCAACTTCAATTTTGGCCACCCACACGTCTAGCTCGGTATGTTTCCCAAGATTGCTAGGTGATATGAAGTGTAAATTATCATGTTTCGTCCAGATTCTACTCATCAACCATTTTGAGGTGGAGAACTCTTGCAGTTATCATCATTTATGTGGCAGTGTGTTCTAGTTGTCAGCAAACTGAAGATTATTATTGGACTTGATCAGGATTCTGTGTATGATTAGCAAAGTTAGCTCTATGTAGAAGCCATCATCATTTTGACAGAAAGAAAAGGAAAATATGTGGATCAGTTTCTGTGTCAAGTTTTTGAGCCCATTTCTTCTCTACTTTTGTGTATTGTTCTCCTTCGTTTTCTGCATCTGTTTTTTTCTTTTTTACTATTTTGTAAAATACATTTTGATCAATACACCAGAAATTATAGTTTTGCAAGCGTTTATTTTGTGTGGTTATTTCATTTGTATGAACCATATGTATCTTATCTGTCCAAAAAAAAAATTTCAAGAAAGACTCACAGGTAGCTTCAAAAATCATTATATAGCTGACTATTAAGGCTGAATAATGCTGCAGTTTTAGCAGCCCCTTGTAGTGATATTAGTTCGGATAAAAGCATGGGGATATATGCACCATCTATGTTAAATTGACATATCTTCCATGGTATGCAACACTGAAACCAAATTTGTAAATGGTTAATCTCTCCTTTGTTTCTCTATAATGAATGAAAAATTCGGTTTTGATGCTTACTCTGTTGTGTGTGAGATTCTTGAGATATGGGATAAGGACTCCAACAGCATATATCCTGCATGAAGAGTTTTTGTAACAATGTGTAATTTCTTCTGCCTTTTTTTTTTCTTACCTTTCTCAATCTATGTTCTCCTTTGTCCCCTGTGATGCCTCTCAGTGCCCCTTCTGTTTCTAGTATTTGAAACTCTAGTTTGAAGCTGCTTCTTGTGTCTTTGTTTCGAATCGTTACCTCTTACTAATACTAGACGAATGCGGATTTGCCTGCAGGCCTAGGACCTGTTTAGTGATGTCTATGACATGGCATTTTATTGTTTCACAAAATGATAGATGTGC